ACCTGAACCTGTGAAGTATGATTGGGTTTCAAATAAGGTAACATCATCGGACATAAGGTACCACTGGAGGTCAGGAGAGTAGCATCGATACCCCTTTTGTGTTCTCGAGAAACCCAGAAATACGCACTTAAGAGCACGCGGAGCTAACTTATCTGTTCCTGGAGTAAGGTTATGGACAAAACAAGTACTTCCAAAGATACGGGGTGGAAGAGAGAACAAAGGTAAGTGGGGAAACATGACAGATAATGGAACTTGGTTCTGGATAACTGAAGATGACATACGATTAATAAGATAGCAAGATGTAAGAACTGCATCCCCCCAAAAACGCAACGGAGCATGAGATTGTATGAGTAGGGTACGAGCAGTTTCAATAAGATGTCTATTCTTTCTTTCAGCTACCCCATTTTGTTGAGATTTGTACGGATAAGATATTTGATGAATAATCCCATGAGATTTTATAAATTGCTGAAATGGGGAAGTCAAATACTCCTGGGCATTATCACTACGAAATGTGCGAATAGAAACCCCAAATTGATTTTGAATTTCAGCGTGGAAGGTCTGGAAAATAGAAAACAGCTCAGATCAATTTTTTTATCAAAAATATCCAAGTGCACCTGGAATAATCATCAATGAAACTGACAAAGTAGCGGAATTCCAAGGTGGAACTGACCCGACTAGGACCCCAAACATCTGAATGGACTAACGTAAAAGGTGACTCTGCTCGATTATCAAGACGCCGAGGGAAATGGGAGCGCGTATGTTTACCGAGCTGACATGACTCACACTCTAGAGCTCACAAGTGAGATAAACCAGATACCATTTTCTGAAGTTTTGACAAACTGGGATGTCCCAACCGTTTATGTAATAAATCTGATGAATCAGTAATAGGACAAGTTGTAGAAGGAAGACAAGATGTGAGTCCATGTGATTTATCAAGGATAAGGTAATAAAGTCCGTTTGATTCACGTCCGGTACCAATGATCCGCCCCGTACTGCGTTCCTATATAAAAACATGGTCATCAAGAAATAAAACAACGCATTTAAGTGATTTGGCTAAGCGACTAACAGTTATGAGATTAAAAGGATTATTGGGAACATAAAGGACTGAATCTAAAGGTAAGGAAGGAAGTAGACTTACTTGACCTATTGCAGTTGCCATGGTTTGAGACCCATTGGCCATTGTGACTTTTGGAAGAGATTGAGAATACGAAATAGTAGTGAAAAGAGATTTGTTACCAGAAATATGATCTGATGCACCTGAATCAATGACCCAAGACTCAGAGGATGAAGATTGGGAGAAACAAGTCACACTATTACCTGTTTGAACAATAGAAGCTATCTCAGAAGATGTCTGCTTACATGCTTTGTACTGAAGGAACTCAATATAATCTGCTAAAGAAACCATCCGACTATTCAAAGCATTGGTTCCCATGTCGCTACGAGATGTCTGCTTACATGCTTTATACTGAAGTAACTCAATATAATCTGCTAAAGAAACCAGCCGACTATTCAAAGCATCGATTTCCATGTCGCTACAATTTGTAGTAATAGGGTTAATTTGAAATAGTGGAAATAAGTAACTCTTGTGAGAAAACTGAAGAAATAGCTTGAAAAACACTGTTTACAACAGCAAAAAGCAGAACACTGTTCTGCGCCGGAAACACTGTAGCTGACGGAAATATTCAAAGTGGTCGGAATGAAACAAAACCAGTGAGGGTAGGATCGGAATTACCAGGCGATCCTACTGTTCAACTGGAACTTTTCAAAATCTGGCCGGAAAAGTACTCACGCGCCGGCGCGTGGGTCAGATCTCGCCGGATTTTTTTTTCTTTTCCAGGCGCGTGAGGGCTTGTGGACGTGTGTTTTCCGGTGGGGTTGACTGGAGTTTGGTCGCCGGAGCCTGAGGAGTCTTGTGGTGGTGTTGGTTTTTACACAACACCAACAGAAAGTGATTTGCTTACGGACAGCCTTCTAAGTCGCCGGAAAATTGCACGGCGAAGAGGTCTTTCTTCCCGGAAGTCGCTGGAATGATGCACAACAACGAGTTTCTCACTAATGCTCTGATACTATGTGAGAAAGCACGAGAGAAAATATGTTGTTGATATTGGATGATAAATACAATTCAAGAGGTCCCTATTTATAGCTATACACTACAAGGAGATATTACTCTTCTTCCAATGTGGGACAAGACTACACTATACATATCTGTAAACTAACAAAAGTAAAGATGAGTACTAGTTAAGCATTATTTTTTTTCAAACCAAGTACGTAAATAGTATCTGCTAAACTATGTACTTGATCTTGATAAATTTCAGGATTTTGTACAAACGTGATGATAGTAAGAAAATAGCATATTTGGTGTCATTGTTGCATTGTCCTATGCAATATGTGACAAGTTTCAATGGCTACATTATTAATAGATATAAGTTTCACGTGCAAGAATATGATAAAAGTTTGATAACTGAGAATTTTGGGATGGTTATAGTTGGTGAGACTGATGAAAAGAACAAAATATTGATTACTATGGATAATTAACTGAGATTTTTCAATTACGATTTTTTGGGAGAAGAAGAATGATTTTGTTTCGATGTGTGTAGTTTGACGTGTTTGACCCAAAAAAGGGTGTTAAAATAAATGAATATGGCTTTGTAACTGTTAATCGCCAGTGATTTCCTGAGATGTTTTGAAGGAAGAAGTAGTTCTATCCAGAAAATTAAGATGAACTGCCTTTTTACTTTTCGTTTTTTGTGTAAAGAAGAACTCTTACAAGGTGCAGTTTCCCTATTAGACATTATTGCATCCTTGTAAGAAGAACAAGGATGTAAACTTTTGCTTGTTTTGAACTTGTAAATATGGCTTCCAGCATAGCCTTAATGCTGAAGATTTGTAATACTGTTACCTTTCTAAAAAAAAAGCCTTTTGTATAATATAAGTATTTTATATTAACGATCCTTCCAATAGAGGCTGGAATGTTGTACGAAAGGTTCAACCTTGTGATTCTGTTGACGTTGTGCAGAAAATGGATGATGATTTGGAGGTAGATAATTCTTCGCAAATGAAAAGAAAAAGAACTCATGAAGGTTTGGAGCTTTATCACACCTGCCTTTAATTTGTCAAATCCTTTATGATAATGAAAGTTCCATACTGGACTCCATCTGATTTAGCAAGTTCAGCTGTAGGAAAGGGTACGTTATCAAAAGCGAAAAGCGCAGAATAGCAATAAGGTTCATGGAGCTTGAAGCAAAAGGAGAGAAGTGAAGCACACGAAGTGAAGGCAAATTATAAGGGAAACTAAAAGTATCAATCAATGAATTTATTATATTGCAATAAAAATAACTAATTTTAGCATCCAATATAAAATAATGCCGTCATTAATCCAACTCCTCGAAGTTGAGATTAGAAGAAGCGACCGATTCTCCTAGGCCCTTTCTGCTCCATTGTTTGAAGCGCAAACTTCTCTAAAGCCCATGGCTTCACCTATGAAGCGATAACCACTTGCTTTGTATCTCCAGCGCTTTAAACGACGAAGCGATGACTTTTAATTGGGAAAGGGAAAGGTTTCTTTTAAATACTCCTTTTCAACTTCAAATTCAAATACTCTTTTTTCAGCTTCAACAAAATATTATCCAAATGCCTACTAAAACTCATCAATGGATTGCTTCTCGATACGTGGAGATTTTAGCCACTTGTCACTGTCTATACTCTTGCTTTTGAGTCCAAAAGTAACCATTTGATACCATATTGTAATGGCATTTGTCTGATTTCAGGTAGTGAAGCAGCTTAGTTGAAGAGAAGATGAAAAGGTCAAAACGGAGCTAAAAAGTAGTACAAATCTTTCCATTTTTCAAGTCGATATATTTGCCAGGTTACCAACCTAAACCGGAAGTCTGTGAAAATGACCCATTGCGGGTGCAATGGACTGAGTGCAGGCAGCAATCAGAGTGCAAGAACAACTGAAACATTATCCCTGAAGCAAGACCAAGTGTGGACTGCAATGGAATTGTTCGGCCGCAGTGGTAGCCGCAATATACTCCGCACTGCTGCAGCTTGGAAGGATCAGAGAATTGTCAATTACTGAAGTGTTGGAAGCCAGTGAAGTGAGGCCGGAACACCTGAAGTGCGGACTGCAATGGACAAGTGCGGGCCGCAATCTCTGAAGAGCAGCCCCAATGCACACTTGCAATTGAAGACCACTTAAGACAGCCAGATGCAGTGCGGACTGCAATGCTCAAGTGCGGCCACACTGCATCCTTAAGGGCATTTTCGGCACAGATTTCCAGGACACTATAAATAGTATATTTAGGTCTTTTTACAGCTTGTTTGGATGGTTGTTACCTGTCGTATTGTTACTTAAATACAATGTTTGTTTTGATTGTTACTTAAATTTTATTATATCATATCGTTAAATCCGTCGTTACGTAATAACGAAAAATGCTTCTTTATGTAACGATGGATTTGGTGTGATGACGTCGTCACCTTGGTTTTTTTGTCTCATCTTGCCCTTCCTTATTACTCCCTCCATTTTAATTTTTTGTGAACCTATTTGATTGAGCACGTAGTTTGAAAAAAGAGCAGACTTTTGAACTTGTGGTGTAAAATGAGGCACATATATTTTGTGTGGTTATAAATCATTGTAAAGGTAAATTATTTCCAAATATGGAAAGAGGTCATTCTTTTTGTCACAGACTAAAAAGGAAATAGGTTCACATAAATTGAAATGGAGGGAGTATTAAATAATCATATTTTATCCTTTCTTCTACTATTTTATGTATAATATTTCTGTTTTGTATCCTATTTTTGCTTATCACAAGTCTATTTTTCATATTGTTGGTGCGCAACATCACGAAACGATGACAAACGATACAATCTATCCAAATATTGTATTCATCAAACAATACAATACTATGCAGTACAATACAATATGATACATTATGAAACGACATGTTACAACCATCCAAACAAGCTGTTAGGGTATCTTTTGCCTTGGAACTTGAAGTGAAGCAACCTTTGTGTATTTTGGGGTATTTTCAAGGAAGATCATCATTAACAATATATTTTGCATTAATTTTGCAACTAGTAGTTTAATTATATTTTTCTATATTTTGTTTTTTTTATCTCTTTAGTTATAAGTAGCTAGACTTATAACTATGTAAAACTTTATCGGTTTTCAATATTGAGCTTGTTTATGATTGGGTTACTTATTATTTAGCTGTTTTTATGCTTATTAGTGGTTGTAAACATTGATTCATGACCTTTTGATTTGATTCTTGCTTGAGAAAGAGGAGTTATGTTTGGGTAATAAAGAAAAAGACTAATTGAGAGTTTGATTAGGCCTAATTAATGAGAGTGAACTAAAGATATGAATCTCGTTATTAACTTGGACACCACAATGCCTAATTTTAATGCAATCCTGACTTGAGAGAGCAATTTGGGTTAGACTACTTGGTAATTGAGAAACATCAAGTGGATAAATTAGAGTGTGTGTCATAATAATCCCAATCATTTAAGCAAGCTTGATAGATTATACCTATTCAGTTGAACACCTAGGTAAAGAATACTACCCTAGGCTTTTCTCTAATAAGTTCAACCGTAGCTTAAATATTACATATTAGGTGTTTGATACTTTGGCTCTTAGATAACTCTTAGCATAATCATTAGTTTTAATTGCTCCAAAATTTGTTGAAAGCTAAATTAGGATATATTGAGTCTCTCACTTAGGTGTTTACCTTAACATCATTTCAAAGACCATGACTTTTAGTTGGGTAATTATATTGCGACGACCGTATCATATCTCTTATTGAGGTGTGTTGTGGATGTTATCACTTCTTAAGTGATTACATGTTCATATGTGATGAAATTGACGTGCTAAGTACCTGTTATCTCTTTGTTTTTATGTGTCTTTCATGTTTCTGTCAATCGTGTTCTATCGTGTTGTCTTGCCTGCCAACCTCTTAGTGTCCTTTCAAGACCTTCACATAGAGATGATTCATCTGAAGAAGCATCTTCCAAGATCGAAGCTCATTTAAATTTAAAACTTGTTTACATATTGTATCTTCCAAGTTCATTTTGTGGTAATACGTTTAGGTCGTAGTGTGCTCTCATGTCTCGGAATTAGTCAAAGTGATAGTTGGCATCCTCTTTTCTTATTGAAAAATTGTTGAACGATTTTCTCTTGTTGGTTGAGCTAAAAAATACTCTGCTCTTTTTATTTTTTGGATATTAGATTGAAATGAATCCTTCAAAATTCCGGCATTCTGAAATGGGATCAACTTCAAAGAGTATTAAACATGCGTACATTCCACCTGGTGCGTGAGGCAAAGCTTCGGAGCTGTAGGCTCCTTAAGAGTAAGTGTTGAACAAAGAACTCTACTTGGCAAAGGTAAAAATTGTAATGCAGCAGTTTCTACTACAGAACAATAGCCTTGTGCCTCCTGGTTTTGATCCAGTGGAAGACGATGTTCCCCTCCCTCAAGACGCTGAAGTGATGCAAGACATTCTCTCTATTGTCTCGAGTTGTAATATTGTTTTTGATGTTGTGTACTAGAACTATTTTTATGTTTGACTTAAATCGAAATTTGCAGGTCTATGTGAATCTGAAAAGGCAAAAAAGGTGAGAGGAAAGACCAGGTGTAAAAATGTCTCAGCACTCAAAACTGGAGAAAAGTTGAGAGTTAATTTTTAGCATAATGGAGTTGTTGGGAAGCATCACGCCGCATTTGCAAGACACTTAGGTATGTTAGTTCGTGATCCTACTACGTGCCCGCTGCGAGTACACCCATGGGCGGACATCAAAGAAGATAAGCTGGAATACATGTGGCAAGCTGTTACTGTAAGGATTTAAAGAATTACTTGATTTGTATTTCGAGCTTGATGTATGTCAACTAACTTGTATGTAATATATTTGCCTGCCACTACATTTAAGCTTGATGTATTTATGCAACACTCCATTATTTTGAACTTTTTTGGTTTTGATTTATTGTTTTTGTTGCTGATTGCTAGCATGGATGATTCTTGGTTATTTGCTCTTTTCTGGAATCGTGATGTTTGGTTCATTTCTGGTGTCCCAAATACGTTTGACATGCATTAAATCCACAAAGTTGAGAACAAGTAATGACACCTGGAATTGCAGAAGAAATATTACTAGAAAGAACCTCCATTAATGCAAATCCAACATGGAGAAAATGGTGGCAATTCATAATATTTAACTAGTCATTGAATTTCCCCACTTCAACAGACAGATTTCACCTTACCTTCCACTCTAAGCCAGACTCAACATCATTTGCTTCAACCAAGAATTCACAGATCAATTATGATTTGTGACTCAGTTAAGAGGCATATCCAAAAACATCAACTGATGCCCAAAAGAGAAAAGAATGCAAATCTGATAAGGAAAAGTTGTAAAAAAGTTATATGGACCAGCAACTGGTAACATCAAGAAGCACCTAACAAGTTTCAGGTTCATTAAAATCGTTTAGGCTAACTAGCATCATGTCTTTAGTTTGATGCATTTGGCAGGAAGAAGCTAAAACAGAAGTACAGCAGAAAAATAGTATAGACCCTCATTAGTCATTACCATCATAATCATGTCAAGAAAAGTAACATTCACCTTATTCTTCTTTTTTCTGAACGTATCTTTGTTCCCTATTTCCATTTCTGGTTTAAATCAAGAAGGGCATTCCTTATTGTCATGACTCTCCACTTTTAATTCTTCCTCTTCTGCTACATCCTTCTCTCATGGAATCCAAGCCACGAAAGTCCATGCACATGGGATTATTTCCAATGCACCAGCAGTTGCTTTGTTTCAGATATCAATATCAGGTCCATCAATTTTCCCACAACATTTCCAACTCAAATTCTTTCTTTTCCGTCCTCATTCTCAAAATAAAAAATGGTAGTCCTCTCTAATTGTAACCTCACTGGTGAAATTCCAACTTTTATCGAAAACTTATCCTCCCTGAGAAGTTTAAGGCTCAGTTTCAGTGCTCTGACAGGAAGCATTCCAGCTGAAATAGGAAGGTTATCAGAACTGAAGCAACTTTCACTGAATTCCAATTTCTTTCAAGGTCAGCTACCAAATGAGGAAGTTGGTCAGAATTGCAGCAGCTTGAGCTCTCTTATAACCATTTCTGGATACTAACTGGGATACTAATTGGAATACTTTTCAGCTGCCTCTGCTTTTGCAGAAGCGAACCAGGACAATCCTGGCCTGGTGATGGACTACTTGTGTTTGATGTAATTGTTGGTTAAATCTTATTTTTCTAGATTATCTGAAAATTTTGAGTATCATGTTTAATGATACTTGTGAAATATTTTTGGACAAATTTGACAGTGATGACATGAATGATCAAAGAAACACATGAGAGTTATGGAACAATTGGAGGGCATTGCTGCACATGAATGTGAAGTTTAAGCCATTGCACGAGGCTCTAAAAGATGTGCAGGAGGGGGTAGACAAGAGTGATTGGAAATGGTTGGTCAAATGAAAAATTTAAGATATGGCTTCATAACTATTTACTAAAGCAGATCATAGTTTCAATTTTGTGTTGTTAGTATAGGAAGCAAGTACAAGAAACTCAGTGAATAGGTCTAAGTCGAGTATGCCTCACCTTACGGGTAGTGAGCCTATTAGAGAGAATTTTTATGAATTGGTAAGTAAATCTTACAATCCTTTGAGGAAACCTCCCATTATTTTGGAAGATTTGTTTGACTTGTTTATTTGAATGTGAAGGGACGCAAAGATGGTAATCCACCATGCAACTATTTCCTTTGAGACTCGTAAGAAGGACAACAAGCTTGTCGAACCTAAAACTAACCAAAAGTATGTATGTTTTATTGATAAATTTCATCTTACATCCTTTTATTTAATTTATTGCATTATTCTAAATATTCTTGTATTTTACAGGTTGGAATCCAAAAACTGGTAAAATCTGAGCCGTCTAAGGCAGTGAAAAGGAGCTCCTCAATGTAAGAGACATGCTGTTGGATTTGGGGGCGGGATAACTGCTAAGGAGTTGAAAGGTGGTTCTCCTCAAAGGCACTATTGGATAAGTTCAACTCATGTCGAAAGGAAAACGAATCACTAAAAAGACGCCCGGATGACAGAGAGTAAATATGAACGGCTTGCAGGTGTACTTTTCATCCGCCTTCATTGACTCTGTCTTCAAGGGAACCAGATACATGCATTTAACACTTTAGTAAGCTTTCTACCGGTCCTTTACAATTATCACACGCAGCTAACACCAAACATAAAAAAATTATTTAGACTTTTCTGTAGAAAACATTTTCAAATGGAAATATTTCCTAGTGAATATAATCAGACCTTACTTATTTGTCGTCTGCAAGAAGTGGACAAATGTAAAGCATTATAAAAAGGTATATTGAAGAGCCGTCTTATACCAATAAAGTAGAAAAATAACTGCTTAACTAATACAAAGGAGTGTAGTGTAGCTTTACTGAGACATTAAAAGAAATCATTCCACATATGATCCTGCTCCCTTCAATGGTTGAAC